AAATATGGGTATTTCTTTGTGTAATGGATATATTTTTTCAATCTGTTAAGAAATATATTTCTCTTGTCCCCAGAACTATAGGGTTCCCTGACCTAGGCTTATCTATTCTTCTATGGAACTTCATTATAGGGCTCTTTAATTTTGAAATAAATTAAATGTTGCAGGTGATTTTGACTTTAGCACTCTTCACAGAAGAGGGTTCATTAGTGATTTAAATTATCTTTCTGAATGACAAAGCCCAAGGTCTAAAGATGAAGCACTCTGGATTTAGACCCCAGTCTCTTTGAAAGTGGGTGTGTATATAGTTCCTGTCAACTGCTGGAAATATTTTAGTAGTCTTTCTTACTTTTCTACCTCTTTTCTTTAGTCTTTTTTTCCCTTTGATCAACATCCCTAGACTTTCCCATAGTGTGACAGTTGAGGTTGTATACCACCTCAACCAGTCTTTATCCAGCCCTTGCTGTGTGATGAGCACTCTGACCCTGATCACCCCCGATCTATATGTAGACCTTCTGAAGGTTTATCATCAGACAAGCATAGTAATAAGTAACATTTATTAAATATCTACTTGTATTAGACATTATGTAAGCATTTAATGGATTATCTGTGTTTAATACTGAGAGCAACCTTGCTAGGTAGGAATAAATAAATATTTGTCTAAAATCACTTTGAGATATGGTTGCCTGATAAAATACAGGAGGCTGTGGATTAAATTTGAATTTCTGATAGACAACTAATAATTTTTAATACAAGTATGTGCCAAATATTGTGGAATCTGGAAATCCTACTTGGAAAATAAGGAGTAGAGCCAAGATTTTAAACCTTATAGTCAGGTCACAGGGCCCACGCTCTGACCTACTTACTGCATGATACTGGAGATGGAGAATAAAAATCATGCCTACCTGCTTGTTTATCCAATGTTTGTTTGGCAGCTGCTACCTAAGGGCGTCTCAAAAAAATGTACACACACTTTAACAACTGATAGCTCAATTTTGAAAATGAAATATATTTTAAAAAATACTGCCTTTATAATTATTCAAAATGTCTGTATGCATTTTTTGGATACCCTACATATATTATTGTTTTATTCAGTTATGTTTTTTCTCCATACTGACTATATTTATTATAATATAAAAGTGTGTGCATGGTTTCTGATTTCAAAGTCTCATATTCAACTTGAGGTAAATTCATGTATGCTTTTTTTGTCCTCTTGTTTAAATCTTTACTAATTGTATATTAAATAGCATGAAATGAGACTTTGTCTGTACTTGGTCATTTTAGCCATTCTTGTCCATGTAAGATCATTGTATTTTTACTTCCTTTTTCTCAAATATAGAAAGATTTAATTACATGTAGGTGCTAAAAGGAAACATTTTCCTTTTCTTTTGATAAGGTCAAGGAAATGACACATGAGTAAGGTATTTAAAATGTCCTTTGTGTTCTTAAAAATAATGAGAAATTATAAAATACAGATGTAGAATTGAAGAGGCTTTTGCTAAGAATTGCCAGGGAAGCCGTCTGACTCTGCCAAATTGTCATACAGAAGCGAGGAGTCATTTTTCCTGGTAAATTGCCAGAATTCAGGATCAGGCTCTTACTTTTGCATATCTAGAAACTGACTTACAAAAAATTAAGACACAAGAGATTGAATAATACACTTTAAATTTGATACCATGGATTTCCAATTCCAGTAGAATTGCAAAGAGCAAATATTAAAAAGACAACACTGTTCAAATTAATGAAACAAGTGTTTAACTCAAGACTTGGAGTCAAAGAATATGGAAATTGAAGAGACATATATTTCTTAGTGACCCAGCCTGTAATTAATGGATATCTGTGGGAAATTTTTTCTGTGGTAAAGGTGATATCTAGGTAGCAATAGCAAGTCAGAATTTTGGAGAAAGTCCATAAAGGAAAGCCCAGAAACAAGAATCAAAAGTATAGGTTTCAACAGATATAATAGGGCTTGCTATAGGATTGGGCTCTTTTTTAGTCTATTTCATATTTTATTTAGTCTACTCATATGTTTTCAGGCATACTCATTGAGGGACTTGTCATTGGCAAAGTGTCATTTTTTACACAAGTATCATTGCAAAATTAGCATTTCCTTTATTGAATTTAGAATCAAATTATTTTGGATTACATCTATTCGGTATAAGTAAAATTTTCTATCAAAAATTAAAAGGTCACTACATTGCTTCTCAGCCAACTTTTTATTATTTTGTAGAATTTATTAATGGTCGTTGACATTTTATATTTTTAAATAACTAAGTCTGGTGTTATCACCTTTGGGACACAGTAGACTAGAAGACATTCATAAGAAAATGTTTCTTCTTTTTTATTATATAAATTTTTTCATGCAAGCAATGACTTGATACAACAAAACTTATTAAACGCTCAAATCTCTAGCCAAGAGAAAATACATGGTTTACCTAATGCCACCAGTTGTAAATGCTGAGTTGGCCAGAGGGGGACCTAGCCTGATTACCAATTTGATTAGCATTAAGTATTTGCATCCTTTCTAGTTAATTGTAAGTGGACTGTCTACTTGTATTCCGTAAAGCTTGACAAATGAATAAGTAGTTCAGTTCCTTTTGAAGCAGCATGGAGCACCATGTTCGCATTCCACCCTGGGTTCAAATCCCTGCTCTGTCTCTTTGCAAGTAGTCAGTCTCTGCTTCTTCCGCAGTACAGTGTGGTATTGGGATCACAGCACCCATCGTGAAGACTCATGAGAATTAGTAAGTTTACCCATTAATTGAATAATGACTTATGGAATGCCTGCTCTGTCAGGTTTTGTCATAGGTGTCATGGATATAAGGGAACACGACAAAATCCCTGCTCTTCAGTTTAGTGGGAGAGACATACAACCAATATGTAAGCAAATAAAAATGTAATTTTAGGTAGTGAGTGATAGCTTTTATGAAAGAAAATAAAGCATGGCATATACAGAAAAATTCCCCCAGCTTTTAAAAAAACTTTTTCAAAGTATAGCTTCTTGATTCACCAATTAACATGTTGCTATGTTTGCTTTATCCATGTTTGCGTCTGGGTGTGTGGGTATCTTGGTTTATTTTCCCCCCTCAAACCATTTGAAAATTAAGTTGCAGATATAATTAGTCCCCAAGTACTTTAAGAATTAAGACATTCTTCTATGTGGTAGGAATTTGACTATTATTAGTTCTCTTGTTCCTCCTAAACCTCATGAGAAAGCACTCATGGCTGTCTGTCATAACTGTCATGGCTAATCAGAAGTGACAAAAGGATTCACAATATTTTCATGTTATCTGAATATAGAGAGAAGGCTGTATGGAATTTCCTTGGGAAGATATCTGATATATATTTAATGTAGATTTAAAGTATTTAAAATTGGATTTTGAAAGTGTGTTTTTATAACCATTCAAAATTTTAATAAGAACATAAAAATATGACACTCATCCTCATTTAAGCTATATGCAAAGAAGAGTGGAAATATACATTTACTGAGGAATTACTCCAATTACATGCCATGCCGAGAGCATTCTAATGTTACCACATTAAGTCTTCTGAGAACCCCCTGAGGAGTATAAAAACATAGAATAATTATCTATATTATAGAAAAAAAGTAATTATTTCTTTATGTAAAAATGTTTACTTAATGGCAGTTGAACTATCAAATAACAAAGTAAGGATTTGAATCCATGTCTACTGGCTTCTAAAACAAGCAATTTTCACTAAACCCTGTTGCTTTTTTAGTACTTGAGTTAGTCGTTCACTAATTAGGAAGACTTCTTTCAGAGTAAATAACTAAGTATGAAAGGGGAGCTACTGATCAATATTCCTTTCCTGGGAAACTTCTTTTGGGCCACCTTTGTGATACACCATGATAATAAAAATTCAGTTTTATATGGCAATCATTATGAATTCTTTATATTTGCATCCAGTCATTTTCTGCCCAGCATTGCTATTTAACAAGTATTATTCTATTACTCCATGATGTGTCTGTCATATTCTTCTTTAAGGTCAGGGCTGTGGTTCTCAAACTGGAGTGTGTTTCACAGTCACCTCAGAGTTTCCGACTCAGTAGATCTGGAGTGGGGTCCAAAAGTTTGCACTTGTAACGCGTTCCCTGAGGAGAGTAATGCTGCTGGTCTGGGGCCAATCTGAGAACCACTGTCTCCCTTTTTTTGTGTGTGTCTCCCTTTTTGTTCCCCATCCTACTTACCATGATGCTTATCATTTGGCTTAAATGTCCTCTTATCTGTGAATTTTTCCTTGGCTTCTATTTTACTGAAATTGTTAGTTGTTCTCAAATTAGTATGTGTAAGGATCATCTGGAACACTTGTTGACCCAGCAGGTTTCTGATTGGACCCAGGAACATTGGTTTTTAGCAAGCACCTTAGATGTTACTGCAGATGGTTCATGGACAGCAATTTGTGAAATACTTGACTCACAGAGGTGATCGTGTGCTCCTCGTTGTCAGGACTGTATGTGTTTTATACTATAGTGCCATTCTTTGTTTGAATGTTTCTCTCCCACCAGAATCCTTAAAGGAGAAGGACTATGCCTTATTCATTGTTATAACAAAGCTTATTTAGCACAAGGCAGGGTTAAAAAACAGTAGTGAGTAGTGCCTGTGTAATCTACCTATGACCTTGGAGAATTTACTTAATCTCTCTGGGCCTCAGTTTCCTCTTTCGATGGAATGGTGATAGTCATACTTACTTGCTATGGAAATTAGCTCTCAGGTGTGCACAGTACTTAGTGTAGTAATTTTCATACAGAATGTACCCAGTAAATGGACACTATTACTATTGTTTTATGGGAGAAGCAAAATAATCGTTTGAATTAGTGAAAACTCCTAAATTATGATTTTAGCATACAAATTTAGGGTATGTATTTAATAGTTCATTCAAAATCTTTGTTTAATTGTTTCAATTAAATTACTTTTTACATTTTGATATTTCAATAAAATATTGTGAAATTAAACTGTGCCTTGGGCTTTATTTTCTCTCCACAGGAAAACAAAGAAACCGCTTGGAACCAATGGACACCATATTTGTTAAGCAGGTTAAAGAAGGAGGACCTGCTTTTGAGGCCGGATTATGCACAGGTGCTGATATTCTTTACACAACACCTTTTTATTTCTTTTTCACTCCATTTTTTCTTCTTCCATATTTCACTTCCTAATTTCTCCTTAGTTATACTTTTGCCTGTTTCTTCATTTTCTTCACATCTATTATTACTATTTTTTAAAACCTAATTGATAGTTTCTTGGTACCGAAATAGATGGGTTTAACAGAAATAACTTAATGTAAATTATAAATTGTGGGCAGTTTGGGTTACCACTCAGATAATGGACTCTCAGAGGCCCTTTCAAAGAACCTATTTTGCACACCTTTCATTTTTAAAAAATATATATTTTTATTAATTTCAGAGAGGGAGAGAGAGATAGAAACATCATTGATGAGAGAGAATCATTAATCTGCTGCCTCCTGCACTCCCCACACTGGGGATTGAGCCCACAACCGGGCATATGCTCTGACCAGAAATCATTCCGTGACCTCCTGGTTCATAGGTCAACCACTGACCTATACCGGCTGGGCTGCACACATTTTATTTTGACAACACCAGCCAGGCTGCACACATTCATTTTGACAAAGGATTACAAGGTAAGAAAATGATGAAGGTATTTGTTGACATAATTGAAATAATCTTCTTGGATCTTGTAGTTCTGAAAGTACCTCATCTGAATTAATTTGCACCACAAAAAGTGCAAGCCTAGCCTCATCTGTAGGTATCAGTGAATATAATCTGATAGCTGTTTGTTCTAAAATGTTTTGTGATTTTAATAAAAACTAAGTAGAGATTTCATTTATATTCATGTACACTCTAAAAAGTTATTCTTTTCTCTTGTTTTTGAACATGAAATAATTTAAAATGGGTATTAGTAAAAAACTATATTTTATTAGCTTTTGAATAAAATGTCTTTTCAGCTACAGATAAATTTCAAATATCAGTGGTGAGTGTCATTGCTAAGATTTATTAGGGTGCACTGTTACCTACCTTTATTACTTACCTTAATTGTCTCTTTCATCACACTTAAAGTAAGCCTAATTTCAATATCATTAATATGTATAATGTGCATGTCAGTGCACATATGGGATTCCATTTCTGAGAAGGTATCGCCCATCACATTCTAAGCCTCACAGGTTGAGGTGATACTGTGATAAGCACATACACAGGACATTTTTTCCTTTATTCCTTTTTTGCCTGTCCTTTTTTCCCCAATATTTTTCTTTCTACTCCCCTGAGTTTTTCTGAGTAATCAAAATGTGTTTCCTATTAAAATGAAGAACACATTAAACCATGTACATATCCATATTTAGGTTCTGTCATACAGTGCTAATCAATAAACTCAGTAGATTGGGAGAATACTACAAGTAAATCAGCTATATAGAATTAGACACCAAGGTACTAAAACAGGTTTAAGTTTATTGAATAATGTTTTTCTATCACAAATGACAGAGTAAACAGGAAAACTACAACTCAGAAAATAGCTGATAGAGGCATAAATAGTAGAGCTATGGCCACTCAGTGACTATACCTTTTGAGGTGTCTAAATTCATCAATGACTGGACCTCTTATTTAAAACATGGCTATCCTATATAATAAAAGGCTAATATGCAAATTGTCCTCTAGACCAGGAGTTTGACCAGGGGGCGAGGCCGGCCGGCCGGCCAATTGCCCATGGCCCCCTCCCCCAGCCGGCCCCCACCCATGCTTGAATTTGTGCACCAGGCCTCTAGTATTTCATAAGAAGCCAGATATATTAAAGTTTAGATTTATTTTTAATGAGCAAGGATACATTAAAAAATTGTGTTACTCAAGGCATATTTCAAAAGTATTCAGAAGTGACTTTCTTTAGAAATTCTTCATGTGATTTTTTTTTTTTAAATCTTCTTTGAAGGTGACCGAATTATAAAAGTCAATGGAGAAAGTGTTATTGGAAAGACCTATTCCCAAGTAATTGCTTTAATTCAGAACAGGTAAGATTCTTGAAATACAATTAATTTTGCTAAAGATGGGTTTTATAAATCAGTGGAGCAAGTAGATTGAATACAACATTGTACTTCTGTAGGAAATTGGTGTGATGTGGAGCTTTCTCTTAACGTGGATAACGCACTTGGGAGTTGCCAGGAAGACTCCTGAGGATAGCTTAGTTGGTAGCTTTGCTTTGACAATTTTATCAAACATGTGATTAAAATCGTTTAGAGTCTAACAGGCATGCACTTTAGATTATCTGTAAGTTTCCCACTTTTATTTGAAGTGACAAATGTTAATTTGTTTACAAAATATATAAATAAATGCATACATAATTGATTTTAAAACCTCTGACTGCCCTGGTTTGTGTGACTTAGTTGGTTGGGCACGTCCCATGCACCAAAAGGCTGGTGGTTTGATTCCCTGTCAGAGCATATACCCAGGTTGCAGGCTTGATCCCCAGTAGGTGGGGCACATGAGGCAGCTGATCAATGTTTTTCTCTCTCTCTTTCCCTTTCTTTCTCTCTTTCTAAAATTAATAAAAATGTATTTAAAAAACAAACAAAACCTCTTAGTAATCTTTAAATAGCTTATTGAATAATATTCCTTGGCTCAAATTTATTCATTTGTTTTAACCAATATAGCTAGAAATTATCTTTTTAATCCATTTGTTTCCCTGCATTGTACAGAATGATAGAATTTTGAGTTCTAAAGCTAAATAAATATTTGTAGAGTGACCATCTATAAGACCTCAAAGATGGTTTAGGCCTACACTCTTTTTATCTACCACAAACCTAGAAATTTTTTTAAAATTACAAATAAAGAAATTGAAAGCCAAAGAGGTTACCATATTGAATTTCTGTCAAGAGTATGCATGAATCTGGGGTCCAATTTCTAGATAATCACTACTGTACGTTTTTTCCAAATTAAGAAATATTAACTTTTGGGTTATATAGTGCCTTATATTATCCATCCCCACCTGTCTGTAATTAAGTTGAAGATTTTTACTTTATAAAGATGTCTATCAAGCTTCTCTAACGATGGCTGAGACTATACTTACGAGTGTCCTGACTAACGAGTTTTTCGAGATACGAGCCGAGTTGCGAGCTAAAATTCGGGTTACGAGCTAGCTTCAGATACCCCACCACTAGTTGGCACAGCGAACGTCACAGTGAATGCCACAACATCAGCCCAGCATCTTGTGTCTCACTCGTTCACTTTTTGATTTGACATACGAGTAATTTGAGTTACGAGCTCCGTCACAGAACGAATTAAACTCGTAAGTCAAGGCCCCACTGTAATCTGTTAGTTACACAGATGCCCTAATACATGGTCATTTTTACAGTGATCACATTTTTAATGTGATCATGACTTATTGATCTCAGAGTATTCTTACTATTTTAATATATAATGACAGTCTTAAAGAAAGCAAATCATAAATTTAGCCTCTAACATTGAAGTCTAGGTGTTTCTTACAGTGATACTAATTGATCTTAGAGCAGCCGTGGGCAAACTACGGCCCTCTGGCCGGATCCGGCCCGTTTGAAATGAATAAAACTAAAAAAAAAAAAAGACCGTACCCTTTTATGTAATGATGTTTACTTTGAATTTATATTAGTTCACACAAACACTCCATCCATGCTTTTGTTCCGGCCCTCCGGTCCAGTTTAAGAACCCATTGTGGCCCTCGAGTCAAAAAGTTTGCCCACCCCTGTCTTAGAGTATTGAGGAGTCTTGGGGACTGGTAAAGCATCTGAAGTCTCTCCAGAGGCAGTGGGGAGATCCACCCCAAATTTCTTTTTCTTAAAATAATTTAGATCATCGTAAATATACTAATAGTAGAGGCCCGGTACACGAAATTCGTGCACTTGGAGCAGGGGTTCCCTCAGCCCGACCTGCACCCTGCACCCTCTCACAGTCCGGGAGCCCTTGGGGGATGTCCGACTGCCACAGAGGCAGGAGAGGCTTCCTCCACTGCTGCTGCGCTAGCCAGCCCTGAGCCCGGCTCAGGGCTTCTGAGCAGCACTCCCCCTGTGGGAGCACACTGACCACGAGGGGGCAGCTCCTACATTGAGTGTCTGCCCCCTGGTGGTCAGTGCGCGTCATAGTGACCGGTCGTTTCACCATTCAGTCTATTTGCATATTAGCCTTTTATTATATAGGATATTTTGTCAGCCTGCAATTTGAGGACTTTTAGTGTATTTGTTAACATGTCTTCTTTAAAAATAGGCTTTCCAAGTGACCATAACTATAATCTTTGTTTCCCTCAAAATCCATATTATTTATTTATTTTCATAATTGGTGCAGTTCATCTTTCAAATGAAATGGCATTCCTAATTTTTTAGCCAATAAAGCAATTTGAAAAATAGAGAAATCCTGTTTTTTCATGATCCTATTTTCTTACTTATTTTTTTATCTTTAATTTCTTTATTGGTTAAGGTATTACAAGTGTGTCCTCATCCCCCCCATTAACCCTCAACTTCCCCCCCCCGCCACTCATGCTTTCATCCCCTGTTGTCCATGTTTATTGGTTTGGCTTATATGCATGCATACAAGTCCTTTGGTTAATCTCTTCCCCTTGCCCCCACCCTCCCCTACTTTCCCTCTGGGGATTGATAGTCTGATCGCTGTTTCTCTGTCTTTGGATCTGTCCCTTATTTAAAAAAAAACATATTTTTATTGATTTTAGACAGGAAGGGAGAGGGAGAGAGAAATAGAAACATCAATGATGAAAGAGAATCATTGATCAGCTGCCTCCTGCATGCCCCTACTGGGGATCAAGCTCGCAGCTCAGGCATGTGCCCTGACTGGGAATTGAACTGTGACCTCCTGGTTCATAGGTCCATGTTCAACCACTAAGCCACAGTGGCTGGGCCTATTTTCTTTTTAAAAATCGTGTTCCTTTTATCTGCTGTTTTTAGCAAATGGAAAATGCAGCACAAAGCCATTGAGATTCTGCAGTATATTAATGTAAAAATGTACCCTTGCAGAAGAATTTATCTAAACATCAGTATGTATTTTCTACCAATTCTAAACATTGAAATACAAATACCTATATATTTTACTAGTTACTTCATTTGAACCTGTGCTTCTTATTGGTTTTCTATTTTCTTAGCATTTATAAACACCCAAGTAAGGGTTCAACTCTATCAAAAAGAGACACCAGTAAATTAGTGGATTTTGTGGGGTTTTTTTTTGTTGTTGTTTGTTGATTGTTTTTTAATCTCTTGATTGTATTGAGAAAAATGCTACCTGATATTGTTAGGTTAGATATTGAAGCGCTTGATGGGGACAGCACTCTCCTTGCCTTATCTAAATGCAATTCCAGGTCGCAAGACTCAATATAATTTACTCCTTTGAACTTTTTCATATATAGAGAAACTGTCTATCATTTTGAACAGGATGTGGTACCAAAATGAAATGAGATGTTGAGTTTTCCTGTAAAGTCTCTAAAATTCAATCATAAAGAAGAAAGCACAGTAGTTGAAATACTATATTGTTTTAAAAATTATAAATTGATCTCTTCTCTCTCTCTCTCTCTTTACCTCCCTTCCCCCTCCCTCTCCTCCTCCTTCTCCCTCTCCCTCGCTCTCTCTGTCCCTCCCTTTCTTCCCCCCTCCATTCTTTCTAAAATCAATAAAAAAGTAAGTTGTGCCCAGCTGGTGTGGCTTAATGGTTGAGCAGTGACCCATGAACCAAGAGGTCATTGGTTCAATTCCCAGTCAGGGCACATGCCTGAGCTGCGGGCTCGATCCCCAGTAGGGGTCATGCAAGAGGCAGCCCAGTCGATGATTTCTCTCTCATCGATGTTCCTATATCTCTATCCCTCTCCCTTCCCCATCACTAAAATCAGTAAAAACATTTAAAAAAAAAGTTTTGATGGTGAATTCTGATTTTCTTCACCTCTGAGGCCCAAAGGGGATATTTCAAAATGAGAATGCTTAATATTGCTTAAAATGTTAAATGTGATGGATCTTTGGTTATTTTTATGTTCATGTACTTTTTAACTTGATAAATAGTGATAATGTGTGCTAAAAATGTGTGATTTGTTCTGTTACTTGAAGTAAAATAATAATGACAAATTATATACTGATGAATTTTGTTCCAGGACTATTTAATATAAATAATATACTTTGTTTCTAAATTAAATTATGTTTCTAAATTATAAAGAAGCCTTGACTGATTATGAATAGCTCAAATATATGGCAGGGTGCTCTTTTTCATATATAATTAGTGTGTGTGTGTGTGTGTGTGTGTGTGTGTGTGTGTGTGTATGAATTTCATTTTAATGCTTGGGATTTAAAAAAAATAAAGATTTTTTTAAAACCAAAACTTAAACTCTTAAGCAATTTAAGAAATACTTCTGAGTTAACTATTTTTTTCTTGATGTCTTTCTTACATATTCCCACCTCCCTAAAATAGTATTTGTATATTTTCAATTTCAGTGATACAACATTGGAACTTAGTGTTATGCCAAAAGATGAAGACATTCTCCAAGTGGTAAGTTTTATTTATTCAAATATGAATTATATTTTAGTCATGAGTGTTAATAAAAATCTTTCAAAGAGGAAATTGATTTTTAAAAAATTATAGAAAAAAAACCCACCCCAAACTCTCTTATTCAATTAGCAATTAGCAGAGTCTGGAATTTGCCACAAAAAAAAAAAAAGAAAGAAAAAAAGACCAATGTCAATATTTTGCAATTAAGTGATATGAAAATGTGTTATCGATTTCACAGTGAACTCTTCTTACTGCTGTCATTTGCAATGACACTCTTAGAGTTCACCCCAGGTGTTGCTTTCTAGGTAGTCATGTGACCAAAGCCAAACCTCAAGGTGCAAACCCTATCTGCAGAAATTAGAATCTTTTTCTCATATGAGAAATGTTATGAAAACCATTTCTTAATTTTCTAATAAGTATTACTATTTATAATTTAGTAGGTAATTTTGTTTAACAGTATCAATTTCATTGGTAATATTCACACTAAATGAATCTACAATTTAAGGGAAACATATTAAAGTCTTAGAGAGGAGATGAAACTATATTTTTGAAAACTTTAGCATTTAAAGTATTTTTCTCATTTTTAGATAGAAAATAAGTGGAATGGAATACTTTCCTCCTTTAGTTAGCTTAAATATTGCTGAAAGTAAAAAGATGGTAAAATATATAAATTTCATTTAAGAAATTAATATTTTTCCTCAATTAACTTTGAGTTTTGTAGAATAATAGAGCATGAGCAAAATCATTAAGTTATACACTAAAAGCTAACAATTAGATCTAGGAAATGGCAGTAGCCACTGAAGTTTTGTTTTTTTAATTCCTTCTAATGATAGTTGTTGGTTTTTTTTTCTTATTCAAGAAAAATAGGGAACTTATAGAACCTTTGTTGTGGGAATGGAAATTGTGAAGTAGTGATTTTCATTTGTAGGGCATTACTTTGAACTTAGTTCAACAAAAGTCCTAAGTAATCTGTGAACTTTTGTTTTTACAAAAATGTCACTAAAGCTGATTCTAATGATTCAACTTATACACTGACATCCTATCTAATAAAAGAGAAACGTGGTAATTAGCCGTACCTCTGCTACCCTTCCCATTGGCTAATCAGGGCGATATGCAAATTAACTACCAGCCAAGATGGCGGCCGGCAGCCAGGCAGCTTGAAGCTAACAGGAGGCTTGCTTGCTCCAGTGATGGAGGAAGCCAACATTCCCTGCCTGCCGCTGCCGGCCTCTGAGCTTGCAGTTTGAAACATTGTTACAAATATAGAAGCTAAACAAAACCCCAGAAACCTGCTTTCAGCCAGCCGGGATCTCAGAGCTGGAGTTGAAACAGTGTTTCGATTATAGAACCCAAACAAACCAGATACCTGCTTTCAGAAGCCGAGGCCTCAGAGCTGGAGCCAAGCCTCAGAGCTAAAGCTGGCCCAGAATAAAAAAAAAAAGAAAAAAAGGAGCGGTTGGGAGCTTCAGTCACCCGCCAGCCTGAAAACAGCCCTCAGCCCCTCACCCAGACTGGCCAGGCACCCCAGTGGGGACCCCCACCCTGAAGGGGGTGTGACCAGCTGCAAACAGCCATCAGCCCCTCACCCAGGCTGGCCAGGCACCCAAGCGGGACCCCCACCCTGATCCAGGACACCCTTCAGGGCAAACCAGCCGGCCCCCACCCGTGCACCAGGCCTCTATCTTATATAGTAAAAGGGTAATATGCCTCCCAGCACCGGAATCAGCGGAGCAGTGAGGCCTCCCAGCACCGGGATCAGCGGAGCCAAGAGGCCTCCCGGCACCGGGATCAGTGTGACAGGGGGCAGCGCCCCACCCCCCTGATTGCCCTGTGGCTCTGTGTGTGACAGGGTGTGGCGCCCCAACTCCCCTATCGGCCCTGCTCTGTGTGTGACAGGGGGGAGCTCCTCAACCCCCTGATTGGCCCTGCTCTGTGCATGACAGGGGGGAGCTCCCCAACCCCCTGATCGGCCCTGCTCTGTGCGTGACAGGGTACGGAGCCCCAACCCCCCTGATTGGCCCTGCTCTGTGAGTGACAGGGGGCAGCGCCCCAACCCCCTGATCGGCCCTGCTCTGTGCGTGACAGGGGGTGGCGCTGCAACCTCCCCATTGACCCTGCCTTGAGTGTGACAGGGGGCGGTGCCCCAACCCCCCAATCGGCCCTACCCTGAGCGTGACTGAGGGTGGCATCGCAACCTCCCGATCCGCCCTGTTCTGTGCATGACAGGGGGTGGCGCCCCAACTCCCCAATCGGCCCTGCTCTGAGCCCGACCAGGGCTGCACCTAGGGATTGGGCCTGCCCTCTGCCACCCAGGAGCAGGCCTAAGCCAGCAGATCGTTATCTCCTGAGGGGTCCCAGACTGCGAGAGGGCACAGGCCGGGCTGAGGAACCCCCTCTCCCCCCCGAGTGCACAAATTTTTGTGCACCGGGCCTCTAGTGTAAATATAATGAACTAAAACCCAGGGAATTCAACCTTGTATTTTCAAGGTGTGTTGGTTTTACTTGGGAATGGCTTTTTACTGATAACAGATTACCCATCTTAAGTACACAGTCTATTGGGGTTGGAGCCTCAGCAATGAAGGTGCCACTATCCAGGGTGATCTGACGAGGCATATGGAGCCAGTGGTAGAGTTCCTACCCTGAAGATAGCGCAGAGTGAGAGAGTAGCAGACGTAACCACTGCAAGCCACGGAAGTCACTAGATAAGAGATAGATAGGGGCTTCCGCTAGTGCTCCCCTTCAACAAGAACTAGGAGATGAGAGACAGATGGCAGGGAAAGCTTTACCTTGTACCCTCTGTGCAATCTGCTGACTCAAGGACAGAATGTACTCCCAAAACAGAACTGTTTTCTCGTCTTCAGTAGACGCTTTCCTTGCCAAAGTGAAGGCACTGGTTGGACGCAGTTTCGAGCAGTGCACATTTCACAGAATGGCTGGCATGGCACTAAAAGCCCAGAGAAGGAAGCAGACACGGGATTACTGCCCCAGCCTGCTGTGTGGCTGATGAAGAGCAGCAGCCGCAGCGGAAGGAACAATTCTGTAATGATGCGATCAGTGGAAAATTAGGTTAATTAATCTGTCTTGTGATACTTAAGATAAATACATTTAAAATAAAGGTAAAATACAAAGGGTTGCAAACGGGATCATTGGTTCATAGAGTGACATGAGTATATACATCTTTGAGGTTCATCAGTAAAGGGTGCTGGGATATTGTAACAGAAAACTCATTTATAAAACATGTTACTTGAATCATAAGATATTAAAAGCTCTTACCCCTAATAATAAAAGAAAACCTCACTTAAAAACACAGCCTTTACTCACATTTGGATGTACAATAATTCATTAGGAAATTGAAGGAGTGTATAAATTAATGCACTCTATGCATTGTTCCATTAGTACGTGGCAATTTCTTTTCTGCATAAATGTTTTTAGCTGGAATATCTACAAGTGTTATTTTTTTTTAAAGCTATTACAAAACAACAACAAAAAAAGAGTCTGGGATTTAAAAAAAACGCATTACAAATACTTCTGACAGATTCTAAAGCTAAAAAGTTCTATGAGGGGCCTTTAGAAGTATTTATGGTAGTCTTAAATCTGATATCCCAAATATATACTTATACAGATGTATTTGTCCCATGAGGTTGAATATTTTTGTAAAGAAAAAGTAAACATGACCATTTTTACAGCCACTGTAAAAATTATTTACCCGAGGGAAGAAGCCTGTCATAATTTGTATATGTTTGCTTGGGCAGGCGGGTTGGGTGTGTCCATGAAATTTTGTTCCTAAAGTGATAATATGGACCACATTGTTCTAGAGGTACCAAGCTCATCTTTGAGAGGACAGAGAAAATGTAGTTTGGTTTAAAACTTGACTCATGTAAGGACAGGTATACTAATATATTTCATAATTTATAGGTGATAGTGATAGAATGTTGAAAGACATGAAGATGAACAATAATCCATTATGTTATTAACTAGTGCTGATCATAGTACTCTTGTACCTGGCAGCTTCATTTTTTAAACCAACATATATTTTCTAGATTAATGATGCATAGTGTTACATTCATGTTATTCACTTTGACAGTATTTTATAATGATATTTTAGATTGTGATATCTTAGCTTCATATTTGTAAAGTATTGTTACGAAACAAGAAGCATTTCCTGTTTCATTAAAAAAAAATACAAAATGGTTTTGTTACCTTCTTCAAAGCTCTGTGTGAATGGAATAGCCACCATCCATCAAGTCACCTAAACAGTGATGCTGGCTGAAGGAAATACTTTCTTGAGTAGACTGATGATAGGAGAACTCAGTCTCAACATTTTTTTCAGTGGATGCCTCAAGATATTTTGTTAGTCATTTGGCTCAATGGACTCAAAACAAAATTTTGAGTTGGTCAGATCTGATAGCTGTAGAGATTCTTTGGTATATATAATGTTTGACCTGGGCATTTTGAGTCTATTTGGTGCTGGACTGGGTTAAAAACACAGCAAGGTGAAACACCTTTTCTAGTGTAACAGGGCAGGAAGCGATGGCACTAGGATTTGAAACCCAGCCAGTCAAAAACTAAAGTCTGACTTCTAAACTAAACCACAGTATTATTTTGCCATTGGTTACCGATGAGGAGATAGGGCGGCTTACCACAGTCATACTGCTAGTTGGTTCAGAGCTGTTATTCTTACTCACACATGAGCTCTGAGTCCAGTGCTCCATTTTCCACTGCATGAAGATTTGATATAAATTGAAAACTGTAATTCAACCCAAGTTTGTCTTTAGATTTATTAGAACTATATATGGTGCCAGGTGGGTAATGGAACTAGCGGGAGGAACACTTTGTAAAGTATATGATTGTCTCACCACTATGCTGTATACCTGAAACCAATACAAAATAACAATGAATGCAAACTGCAATTGAAAGAATTACTTTCAAAATAATCATTTTTTTTTAATTTTTATTGCTTAAAGTATTACAAAGGGTATTACATATGTGTCCTTTTTCCCCCCACCCTTGACAATCCCCTGGCCTCCCCTACCCCCCAGTGTCTTATGTCCATTGGTTATGCTTATATGCATGCATACAAGTCCTTCGGTTGATCTCTTACCCCCCAAAATAATCATTTAATATGATTTATAATCAATAGAATATTCTTCTTAAAATAAGATATCCATTGGTCAAGTGTGGATCTAGGTGGTCCTGCCTAGAGTAAGAGAAATAGCAGTAGGATTTCTGGAGGGATTTTTTCACGTTTTGCAAGTTTGTAGCAGTTGCTTTGTTCTTTTTAAAAATCTGTTTTTACATAATATAAGAATAGTACATGCTTGTTAGAAAAATTTTGAATAATTTAGAAAGGTATAAAATACCCACCCATCCCCTTCTCCCATACCCCATGTGGCATGGTTGGCATATATTTTACTATACAGACAGACATGTCGTTATTTTTGCTTTTCTCAGAGGTAATAGCATTAATTTAATAAGTCAGCATGTTAAAGTAAAATGGTAGGCAAGAATTTTACTGATACCAGCTTATGTATTCTGCAGGGTTTTTGTTTGTTTTGTTTTTATCATTTATTAGACTAGATGCCTGGTGCACGAATTCGTGCAAAGGTGGGGTCCTTCGGCCTGCCCGGCAATCAGGGCCGATCTGGGCTGGCTAACCAGGGGGAGGTTGGCTGTGGGAGTGCACTGACCACCAGGAGCCAGCTCCTGCGTTGAGCATTTGCTTCCTGGTGGTCAGTGCGTGTAATAGCTACCGGCCGGTCATCCGGTCGTCCAGCCTTAACGACCGCTTAGGCTTTTATATATATAGATGGTATAAGTTTCATAGGTATGGCAATAGTGATTTTAATGCAACTTTCCTAAAACTGAATTGAAAGATTATTTTAGGATTATTTAGTATTAAATAATACATTTCTATTTATTAAAACATTGATATGTCAGACCATGACATCTCAGTAAAAGTTGTGGTACTTTTTGACCAAGTATGCAAGGGAAAGTGTTCCACAGTGACAGCTATGAGCAAGTTATTGGGTTTTTAGTTCTGTTCCAAGAATATAAAACCTTATCAATGTATTCCATGTTCATGTCAAAGAGTTGCATATTGTAATTCATTCCAGATGATCCACCCAGTGTTTTCCCAAGCCCTGGTGAACACTTTCCTCTTTGAAGAAGTCTAAAGCATTCCTTAGTAGGTGTTTTTTTTCTGGTGGAACACTTAAAAACACCATGGGAGAGGAGGGTTCCTTAAAGTGCATATTGTCTATTCCTAATTTACTTCCCTAAATTTATTGGAAGCTAATTTATGTCTGTACCATACCTCTCAAAATATCCATAGAAGTTCCATAATTATTCCCAGGTATGTCCATGACCCACTTGGAACACATACTAATCTATAATGGCCTTAGGGTGCTGCTGATTTCCCCAGGGATATTAATTGAATGGTATTGGTTCTCAAACTTTATGAAAATGAGCAACTTTTAGATAGATAGATAGATAGATAGATAGATAGATAGATAAACAAGGATTTTTAGTGTTTATGAACTGATAGACTATGTGAAGAAATTCAGTAATGCTCTTGAATGAATTATATTTTATTAATTGCAACTATATCTGCTTACATTAGACAGTAGTTCTGTATGTGTAAGACATTCTATTTATTTAGTCTACTGCTATATAGGAATCTTAGCAATGTCTGAAGTATGTCAAATAATTTTTCAAATATTTGGTAGTTCCAATCATACACTTCTATTGTTAAAATATAATATTCCTCCCCAAATTTGAATAAAGGAGGTATCTTTAAAAGAACAGCATTTTCTAGGAGAAATTCTAATCATGTGAAACCCCTAGAGAAAATGGGTTCCTTGGCCAAAGAAGTGTGTAATTTCTCTTTTGAGTTTTGCATTGTATATTAATGTAGTAGAGGTCTTGAGAAGTCAAGAACCAGCCAACCTTTCCCTACATCATTGACCGCAGAGAACACTCCCCAACACCCCCTTTCCGGTGATACCTAACAAAATTGCACAAACACGCTGTGGGAAATAATGTATCTGAGAGTTCACTCATCCAAGCACAGCTTTCCTTTCATGGAAAAGTATTGGTGTGAATATAGTCAGCGTTAAAAAGATAGGTTCGTTATGTCAGTGCACATATCCAAAATGTATATTTTGACTGACTGTGTTCATTCACTAAAACTATTATGGCATGCATGTTTTCTTTTATCTACTTCGCTTTAATTTCTCAGTGCAACTAAGTTTATGTTTAGAATATTCATTGTAAGAAGGGTTATTCTGGAAGTAATATTTTCTGCCTAGTCAGTGCTTATTTCCATAATGAAACAAGGCAAAAGGTGCAGTGTTGAAAGATCTTAATTTTTGAGTGAAAGCTACTTAATAAAACAGTCATTCTTTTTTTCCAAATCATGGTGTAAAAGCAGCTGCAGTCAGCCCACTGCTCGTGGTTCTGCTCTGATTTACAGGGGAAGGAGGAGGTTGTACTATTTTAAATGCATAATAGAGCATTCGTTTCGTCATCTGGAAGCAGAGATGGAAGCAGCTCAGGGGAAATGAGGGACATCAATGTTGCTCCTGTGGAAGGGAAGCTTCGGAGCACACTGTCAGACAGCAGTGCACAGCGAAGAAAATACCTGTTAGGAATGCATGTCTTCAGATGGCTTTTGCTTTCAAGAATGGTAGACAAGTCAAATGAGAACCAGATAAAAGCCTGAGAAAAAGATGCTCAGAAGGATACTGAAGTTATTCTTTATGCTTCACTGCCCTTTACCTCTCTTGGTACCTTCCAGAGAAATCAGTATAGCTGTATTTTTAGCTTGCTGTTTCCAGCATCAATGTGACAACATGATTCTGTCTTTATATCAGTAAGCAGCTTCTACTATGTTTTCCTATTTTCTGCTAGCTACAATTTACAAAGGATGTCACAGCTCTGGTAAGAAATGCACAGAAGCCATTTCCTTGCTTTTTAAGTCATGTTTGGTAGAGATTTGTAATAAGCCAATTGATTAAAACTGTAAGTTTGCTTAGAGAAATCCCTCCATAGTGTTAATCTTACTAATTTGCAGAATGTGTTTGTGATAATTGTTTTCTTTATTTTTAATTGTGGTTTTTTTTGTATCCTGTGCATAACTGGTTTTAGAACATGATATTTATCTGCATCTGTATTTTTTAAGTATCCCACCCTCTCTCTTTCCTTAGTCCTTTGCTGTGATGTTATGTTTGTGGCTGCGCTTGAGCTTTGCAAGCTATCTAATGCAAAGGCAGGATGTGATGATAGTCTTGAATGCAGCTTGTTTTGATTAGAGAAGGATATGTAATATGATACCACACCTAGCTGTCTCAGATGCTAAACAGTACTGAGTTGCATTGATTAGCTCTGTTTTATAGACTCTGTGTTTAATTTCAGTTTTTCTTAAGTTTTAAAAAAATATTGCTAGATAATTTTACAAATAGTTGATAAAAAATAATTTGAGCTGCATGCCTGCCTGTTAGTAGTAGAGAAACATCTCCTCATAACAAGTAAGAGACCAAATAAATTTGTACAATATAATTTTGCATGAACTTAAAATAAGAATTATGTACAGAAAAGTGAATTACCTTTATTTTCACATTTTTATGCCTTTAATATATGTGCTTACTTTCTTAAACAAGCCTATTCTTCTCATTTTAAATATTAAAATATTTACCATGGCTGTTGAAAGACCTGATTTATCAAAATGGATTATTTTGGGGGACTCAGTAATCATTAATCAAGATACCTAATTTATGAGAGCAGTAGTGCTTAAAATGGAAATGTGTTTGGTTAAGATTTTTAATATTTTCACCTCTATTCTGGCAAAAGATCAGAATCTTCTTTTGCTGAGATTTATTAGGCAGCCATTTAACCTGTCGACTGCTGAAAAATCATGAAACTTGAATGGGGAAAATTTTGGAAGCAATCTGGCTGTATCTGATTGGTGGGGGAAATTTTTGGTGTGTTTCTAATCCTTTGAGAAAATAGGCAATTGTAGTTTTTATTTGTTGCACATTCTACAATTTATTTGATTTCTGAGAGACTAGCCCTTTTCTAAATTTGTGGTGCACCCTTATGTTGTGTTTGCATGCATGCTTGAGTGAATGCCACTCAGGAACAAGGTAGGGCACCATAAAATGAAGTAGTGCATTGCCACAATGGGAATTATTGTTCTTTTTATGAATTTTTTAATGACACTTTCCTCTCATTTCCATGTAGGCATATTCTCAAGATGCCTACCTGAAAGGCAATGAAGCCTACAGTGGCAATGCCCGCAATATCCCCGAACCTCCACCAGTCTGCTATCCCTGGCTGCCATCTGCCCCTTCAGCCATGGCAGCGCCAGCTGAAGTATCTCCTCCAGACTCCTCATCCAGCAAACAGCAGACCACTACCCCAGTACTGACCCAACCTGGCAGGGCCTATAGAATGGAAATACAAGTGCCTCCATCACCAACAGACGTTGCAAAGTCAAACACAGCGGTGTGTGTTTGCAATGAGAGTGTGAGGACTGTCATTGTACCTTCTGAGAAGGTTGTAGATTTGTTACCTAATAGAAACAACCATACAGTTCCTTCACACAGAACTGAAGAGGTGAGGTATGGCATAAGTGAGCAGCCCTCTTTAAAAACAGTGTCAAGAACCACATCACCATCATCATCCATCCCCACTGCCCACCTAATTCATCAGGCCCCAGGCTCCAGATCGTTGGAACCTTCTGGAATTTTAGTCAAGTCTGGCAATTACAGTGGACATTCGGAAGGAATCTCAAGCAAGAGATCTCAAGCTTTGGATTCTCCTTCTGTGTCTGTTAATCATTATTCTCCAAATTCCCATCAGCACATAGACTGGAAAAACTATAAAACTTACAAAGAGTATATTGATAACAGACGATTGCATATGGGTTGTCGGACAATTCAAGAAAGATTAGATAGTTTAAGGGCAGCATCTCAGAGCACAACAGATTATAACCAGGTGGTACCGAACCGCACGACTTTGCAGGTACGACGCCGCAGCGCCTCTCATGACCGAGTGCCCCAGTCTGTTCAGATCCGACAACGCAGTGTGTCCCAGGAGAGGCTGGAGGACTCTGTGCTAATGAAGTATTGTCCACGCAGTGCGTCGCAGGGGGCGCTGACAGCCCCACCTGTTAGTTTTAGCAATCATAGGACTCGTTCATGGGATTATATCGAAGGACAGGGTGAAACCTTGGAAAACGTCACTTCTGAAAGTCAAATGCCGGATTCAAATGGAGAAAGAAAACAGACTTATAAATGGAGTGGATTTACGGAGCAGGACGATAGACGAGGCATTTACGAAAGACCTAGGCAGCAAGAAATCCACAAGTCTTTCCGAGGTTCCAATTTTACCGTGGCTCCGAGTGTTGTTAATTCTGATATTAGGCGAACGAGTGGCAGAGGAGTGGGATCGGTGTCTCAGTTTATAAAAATTCCACCAGATCTGAAGACAGTGCAGTCAAACAGAAGTTTTCAAACCACTTGTGGAATGTCACTGCCTCAAGGTATTTCACAAAACAGGTCACCTCTTGTCAAAGTCAGAAGTAATTCTCTGAAAGCACCTTCGATGCAGGTCACAAAACCATCATTTAACCAGAATTCATTTGTTTCTATCAAAGACCAAAGACCAGTAAATCACTTGCATCAAAACAGTCTGTTGAATCCGCAGACGCGGTTAAGATCTGAAAGTGTCCCCGGTCAGCAGGTGGAGCCTGGGAAAGCCCCCTGTCTGTCTGGAGCTTCCAAGTCTGCCCCTCAGGTGAATGAGAACTCCGGCGCTTCAGAAGGAGAATTACCTGTCACTCAAAGGAGCCAAGATTTACATTTACAAGCGGCTGAAATTCAGCAGTCAGATACTTTAGATAATAAAGAAACTGTCATCCTAAGAGAAAAACCTCCCTCTGGTCGCCAAACACCGCAGCCTTTAAGGCATCAGTCTTACATCTTGGCAGTAAATGACCACGAGACCGCATCTGACACTACCTGCTGGCTGCCTAACGACGCGCGCCGAGAGGTCCATATAAAAAGGATTGAGGAAAGGAAGGCCTCCAGCACCAGTCCGCCTGCTGACTCCTTGGCCTCCATCCCATTCATAGGTGAGCTCATTTATAGTCATTGGCTGTATGTCCAATATTTAACACATCTTTTTAGCAAAGTATTTCTAGTTTGACAGGCACAGAAATTTTACACTGTGGTTTTAAAACATTTCTTCTGAATTTTCCAAGTTGTGCTTAAAACCAGAGCCGTAAGTGTTTACCCTCTTTCTCCTTTTATTTTGTTTTTAGACTTTACATATTCCGTCCCCTTTTTAAGTTTTTGTTTAATTGAAACAAATTCCCACTTTCTGGGGCCAAGGGACTCAGCCAACCAAATTGTACCTAACTGATGATAATCAGTAATCAATCGTCCGTATAGACCAGGGGTGGGGAACATCTGGCCTGTGGGCCATACAAGGCTTGAGAAATCATTTGGTTGGCCCTGCCAAGAATTAGGGGTGAAGTTAATTAAGTGTGTGACCAAATATAGCAGGCTAATTTTTAAAAATATATTTTTATTGATTGCAGAAAGAAAGGGAGACAGAGAAAGAGATAGAAACATCAGGGATGACAGAGAATCATTGATCAGCTGCCTCCTGCAAATCCCCTGCTGGGGATCGAGCCTGCAACCCGGGCATGTGGCCTGACCGGGAATCAAACTGTGACCTCCTGGTTCATAGGTCGACACTCAACCACTGAGCTACACCGGCCAGGCTAGCAGGCTAATTTTTAAGTTGATAATTTTGTATGGCTCAAGAATGATTTTATAAATATTCAGATGGCCCTTGGCAGAAAGAATAAAAGGTTCCCCACCCCTTATATAAACAATGCTATTTACTTTCTAAAGTGTGTGTAAATTAAGCTGAAAGAAGAGACCTCTTCATTGTCAAATTGCTGTCTTAGAATAACTCTTGGAATTACCTAAATGACAAGCATGTGCCCCAATTTAGAACTCCTGTCACATGTACCGAGTCTTTAGTCGGCTCCCACACACCTCAGGTATATTCTTCACAAAGCAGCCACTGTAATGTTTCAAAAACGTAAATCAGGTCATGCCACTCTAACCGGAACCCTCTGTTTACTTCCTGTGTTACCCAAAATAGAATCTCAAATCCTACAGTGGCCTTCGAGGCCTTCCCCGATCTGCCCCCCAACACGACTCCACCTCTGACTCCATGTCCTATCTTCTGTGCATTCATCCCGTCTTCATCTCTGCCAGCTTTGCAGCTGGGCAGTGCCAAGCATGTCCTGCTTCAGGGTCCTGGCACCGCCTGACTTGCCCTCTCTCACTACATGGCTCTTTGACATTACCTTGTCAGGCAGCCTATCTAAAATAGGTACCCCACACACATACACAGAACCTGGCAATTCTCTATCCTCTTAAGCTACTTATCTTCACATCACTTGTTTCCACTTGATATGTTTTGTAGTTTTTGTTAATTACATGTTTTTGAGCTAAAACATAAACTACATGAGAGCCAAAATTTTAGCTCATTTGTTCAGTTCTCTGTCCTTAACTAACTTCCCTAAAATCACACAATAAGTGGTAGAGACAGGGATTGAAGGCTTCTCTGATTCAGCCACATCACAGAGCACCATTAATATAGAATGCATTGTGAAGAGCGCCCCCTGAAGTTGCGTGGTGCAGGGGCCTTGCTTTGAGGCCAAGACCCATACTGTTACTCTCTTACCTCATAAGTTCATGAAGAGTTCTTCACAATTTGATAATATATTATGCTTCTCTTTGGGTAATATTTCAGTTTTTCTTCTCTAGATAAACTTTTCAAAGCTATTGAACTATTAAAATGCCAGGTGATATATCAGAATCAGCTTTTTAAAAGTTCTGATTTAACTTATTTTTTATAAGTATGACATATTCAAGTTGAACACATTGTGGGGAGTCTTAACCTAAATTGTACTCATATTCATATATGTACCCTTAAGGCCAACCTCAAGAATAGTAGAACTTTACTGTAGGTGGAACCTTCTACATCATCTTCAGGGGTGGGCAAACTTTTTGACTCGAGGGCCACAATGGGTTCTTAAACTGGACCGGAGGGCCGGAACAAAAGCATGGATGGAGTGTTTGTGTGAACTAATATAAATTCAAAGTAAACATCATTACATAAAAGGGTACGGTCTTTTTTTTTTTTTTTTAGTTTTATTCATTTCAAACGGGCGGATCCGGCCCGCGGGCCATAGTTTGCCCACGGCTGATAGTTCATAGATGGTAACTGAGGACTAATGATTGATTTACGATTTCTTAAGACATAAAAAGCCCTACAACCTGTAGCTATATTTCAAAGGCTTGTGAGATCTTATCAGAATACTGGCAACATAATTTCTTCCTACTTAAGAATAATTGAGATTATATTGGAATAATAAAAGTGTGCTAGTTACAGATGTTAATATTTCTTCCTATTTATGCTAAGTACAGAAATAAATAAAAAATTCAATTATGTTATTAAAGAGAGAATGTTGGCTAACATAAAATAAAAATACATGGTTCTATATACATATATAGATTTAGGAAAATTATTAAAATAAATCATTTTCTTTATTACAAATGAAAATGCTCACTGATTAGATTTGATCAGATTCCACTTTAGGTACTTATTAGAGTCTCCTTCATAGTTCCTAGTGAATATCTTTTGTTTAATGACTCATGACTTTTAAAAGTCCCCAGTACAGAAATGCTTATATAGTCCATTTATTTCCTGTGAGCCTCTTAGAACCTTAATATATAGCATACGATTACTATGGTGTATCAGTTTATAGCACCAGTGGAATAGGGTAGAATAAAGAACTGAACTAGGAACAGAATTTGTTTTACTGTGCTTGTATATGTGAATATTATCCATGGATAGAAGCATTCTTAAAAATTTTCTAGGCCCTGAGATTGAACAACACCAGTGCCTTCCAGGTTTTTATAGCATTTTCATGGTTTTTATAAAATTTAATGCTGTTTGAAATAAAAGTGTGGGAAAGAAGTTGGTTTTAGAATTTATCTAATTTTTGGAGCATAATATCAAAAGTATATTTCTTTTGCATAATATACTTGCCTTCATACTGTGAAAATATTTTAACTCTTTGACTAAAAATCTTTTTTTTTTAACTAAAAATCTTTTACTGTAACTTCAAAGTCCAAAAAAATACAGGGTGGACAAAAGTAGGTTTATAATAATAATAAATGATACAGTAATTAATAAATATATATTACAAGCATAAGCCCTGTATCTCATGTACTCACAAGTGTAAGCTTCCTTTTGCCCCACCTGTATTTATTAGTCTTCTCCAGTAACTGTGTTAAGTATATAACTAACCAATCAATAAAAGAACTATCAGCATTTCATTAAATGCAAGTTCCAAAATTAACTATTGAATTCCTTTTATTATTGAGCTTTAAAGTTTTATTTGACCCATAGGTGCTTCTCTTTTCAATTAGTTATTTTAAGAAATACATATTTTAGTGGGATAGATGCCGGCATTGAAATGGAACAGAGAGACTATTTGCAATTTCCCCAAGTGTTTTCCAGTAACACTAATTGCATTTGGTTAAAGGAGGGGAAAATGACCAGTAATAAAATAATTGAGAAATGCTGGGCTTAAATAGTTAAACAAATTTTGCTCATCTTAACCATAAGACTCTCACAATCATTAATGTATTATATATCGTGAATTTTCTGGGTAGGATGTAATACAGTTTTTCTCAGAAGTATTTGAAGTATTTGACCATGAATTCTTTTATTTAGAACAGGGGTGAGGAACCTTTTTTTCTGCCAAGGACCATTTGGATATTCATAACATCATTCGCTTAATATAATTCACTTAACATAAATGTATGTTGCTATGACAAAAACTCCTAGATTTATTGAATTTTGAGTCCCACTTGTGGTTGCCTTGGCAGGGCCAGGCCAAATGATTTCATGGGCCTTATATGGCCCGTGGACCGGATATTCCCCACTGCTGATTTAGAGTATCTCACTATAATATACCATAAAACACACTTTGAGGTATGTTGGGCTATATTCTACACTATTTTATGTAATATTTGAATTCAAAGGAAAAAAGAAATTAAGGTTTGCTTTTTGTACCATCATACTCCAGAATATCATATTCTGTGATTTTAATAATTATTTTTGTTATTTGAAAACATCATACACTAATGCAAAAAATAGGGACAATTAAATGCCTTGGCTTTATTCCCAAAATATCAGATAATAGAGCTAATTCTTTTATTTTTTTATCTATAATAAGAGCTAATGATATGTCTACAGAAAGATTTTCCCACATTTTTACACATTTAACATCTAATTTTTTCCTGTCACAAAGATTTAGAAAAATTTAGAAAATAAACCATTTTACTTGTTTTTAAATTTGGAATATCAGTCACCTACAATATTTTGTTTACCCCCACCCATTCACGTATATACTTTTTAAAGCTTCATGGTAAGTTTTAAAAATAAATTTCAACTTCATTTGCAAGTAAACACAAAACAGAATGAATCATGAGTTCATAATTTGATATTTAGTAGCAAGTATTAAGATGTATTCTACAATCTTTACTTTGTATATTTATAATACTCTTAACTATTAATGTGAAGAAAATATAGCTGTTTTAGTTATATCCAGAATTCACCTCAAATTTATTTCTCGTTTTATTTTGTTTGTTTGTTTTTGTTTTTTTGCCCTATTTCTAATACTCTTTGTTAGCCTAACTAAAATTGAATTAGATTGGTGTAGCCTTATTGGCACTGATATTTTCAACCAAATTAGAAGTTTTTAAAGCTTGTAAGTGACAGTGTCTACTCAGCTGAGCCTAGCTATCTGAAATTTGCCCACAAGAAATGGAAATGGGTGACTATCACCTTATACACAGTTATCACCTTAAAGAGTTCTAGTCTTTAATGCCAACAATGCTATTGTAGGAGTATGTAGTGAGCACCCCTGACCCTCTTTATACTAAATACATACTGAGTCTTTTTG